TCACTCGCCTTCCTTCCTTTCCTTCCTTGTGCTAGCTGTTCATGCTAACGAGGCCTTGCGTCTCGTTTGTCTGCAACAAAAACCTTTACAGGAAAGTGGAGACCGGTAAACAATATTACAACACTTGATTCGTCATTGTATGCCATCTGCGAGCCATTTTCATTGTGTCTTGTGACCAACCTTCTTGGTTCGTTAGGTCGTGACACTTCGTTGAGACACTATAATATTTCACGTAAAAAGAAGGTACTTGAACTGAAATCGGACCAACTAACTCATTTTTTGAAGCGAGCATTCTAATTGATGAAACACAACTGCTTGCCCCAAGCGCGCTTGTGATGTCAATATGTTCATATTGCCAAAGGCCGAGGGTATAGCCTGCTGTGCTCATCAAGGGCAACGTCGACAACAGTATGCGACCGGGAACAGCCGAGTGTTGTTTCACGATAGAGACATGAAATTTTATTTCATTTACTTACTGAATAGGCCTGTTCTCTGTAAGTGGATTGATCAAGGACCGAGACAACTCAGCAAAAGCCCCTCTGTCGAGCATTTGCTAAAGGGTAGTGCACCGCCTCTCCTAAATCCAAATAAATGGTGTTCCGAACACTAGTTGATCGATTTCTCGTGCAATTAAGCTGCATTGCTCTCATGTTAAACGAAGGAGGGGGGCTACATCGTTAAGCCGTTCGCAAAGCATTTCCCATGACGCTGGTTCTCTGCTTCATTTAGAAAAGAGGTTAGTGTCAAGATCACATAGGCTTGTCTAGATGTGTTCACCATACAAAGCTCTACGATTGCTCCCTGCAGCAATCAAGCCAATAAAAGCTGTTTTTTTTTGTTTCTTTCCTTCTTTTACACGTTGTAGTGCTAATGGTGTATCTTAATAAGTGTGTCGTGAATGGGTTAATATAAAGGCGTAGCTTGCTCATACTTCTTCTCACACTTGTAGCACTAGTGAACACCTGTGAACAACTTAATTTTGACAATCAAAATTTGCACACATAGGTCAATCTCTTTAAAGTGGGTCATGTGAGCATGGAAGTATATGTACTCCACTAAAGACAGTTATTAACGTAAATGTTTGGTTATGTTTGTTTTATCTTATTGTGACTATTCAACCCAACCGCAATGCCTCTGTCATGATCTGTCAGTCGTGTGGAATTCCGGTTTTTCGCTTTGCTTGGCACTTTCTTAGGGAGCGTTCTCATTTACCCACGGGTACATTATCAAAGGGATTTCAGCTGGTACAACTCGCACGCTACTTAGTTGCTGCAGTTTGCTTTGATTCACGGCGGGCTGGAACTAATTATCGACTGTGTCCGAGAGCTCCCCAAACAAATGACGGGGATTACAACATCCCGAAATGAAATATGCCATAGAACGGCGGGAGTACGTTTTCAAAACACAGTTACTTGTTTTGCTTATTTTTATATCTATAGTATTCCCGTTTTGCGCACTGCGGCCTTATTAATATCGTCCTCGTATTCGCTTTGAAGTGACAAATTTCCTCGTCAGACATTCATTATTGCGAGTCCTCTGATGGTATAAACTTCCATTTAGGTCAAGGTTTTAATATTTTTACTTGAGTTCCAGAATTCACAAAGTAGTCATAATTTCATGCCATTGGTGTTGTTTTATTGCTTTATAAGGTACCTTTCAAGGCTAAAGTAAGTTGCAGGCATTCAACAACGTAAATTCAGAAAGCTCATTTCCATGTTAGAAAGGAATTACTGAATGAAGAAGTACCTATTGAAATATTCAAGCATATGGGGGGGGGGGGGGGGTAGTGGTTTGAATGAGGTTGATTAGTGAATAAAATTTTATTAAAGGGACCCACAACTGGGCCTAGAACGTCTCATGGTGATATGATTGGGACAAAGAGACCATAATATATAGTGCTTTAAGTCGCGGTGGTATTCGCGGTTTTAAGCAGGAATTGCACCTTTATAACTGGCAAAAAAAGTAGAGAAGCGGGGTATGCGAAAAGTTAAAAATTGCTTACGCTTACCCTGGCACTGCCCAAGGACTCAATTTTTTGAAGTAAAGGGTTGACCGTAAGATATGGTATTATCCAGCATTTCAATAAGTGTTCAGAAATTTTTAGAGGCTTGTAACAATTGTTCAGTGAACAGGAAGCGCGAAAGGAACACACACACGAAGCAAACCGAAGGTACACAGCACGAGTGCTCGCTGAGCAGTCATGAATTACCAACTAGCCCACCTTTCTATCCTGTTGCAGACTTATCATAACAAAGATACTACGAGAATCAATTCATCAGTAAATCGATTGATAATTCAATATTTTAAGTGGAGGTGTATTGCGTAAGCCCTAGGTCAATGACATTTCAATGTTTCGCAAGCGAGCCCAGCGTTAAAATGTGCCCTACTTGAAGCCTAAGCTGTTTTCGTCTAGTGCACATCACACTGATAGTGTTTTCGGGAAAGTTTAACCATGATAAAAACCTAGTAACATTTCGAGGAGGTGGCTGTTTTGATAGATTGGACATTTTAATAATTCAACAAGAAATATGGTCATATTCTTTGCAATAGCAGTGGTGTTCATCGTCCTAAATTTAATTCTTCGCAGCTCTTTGACTCTATTTTTTTGTCATGGGAAATGATTCATCTGCATATATTAGCCATATATCATGGAAAGAAATGGATTGCTTCAGAAGCGCAGAAGCTGTATAACAGACGGTCGACTTCTCGGACATGCGAGAATTTCCCTATGGATGAATGAGCGGAGCTCCATTCAGACAGCGGAGATCCCTGACCAAGACCCTCTATGAGCGCTCAATTTTCAACTCCAATAGAATAGAGTCACTGAAGTCTCACAATATCGAGGTTCATGCCTTCTCCGAAGGTCACTGGTACGCATTTAGGCTCCCATTGAAAACAACACATTCGTACCTTTAATATGATGTACAACACAATAAACGCTAGCAGTACAGTGATACAAAACAACAAACATTATTTAGGTTTATCTGACTGGTATGAGCGACATTAACTCTTCAATTAGATCGTGTTTAAAACTCTATAGATACTGCTCACTTATTACATGCGGGAAACAAAGGCTACTGAAAAATGCTGCCTATTGGTAGCGAGATGGGGTTAGAGGTAGCGGTACCGTCGCCGCGGTTGTGTTGATAGGTAGTTGGCGGCGCTTATACAAATGGACACAGCGGTGCTTCGTCGTGAGCGGTTTCAGCTGATTGTCGGCGAATAAAAAGCGTTGACTGCTTCTTACGGGTAATACTTACAATACTCAGGAACGAATCAATGCAGGGAGACCATATAACGTTACTATTACTCGCGAAAGAAGCGCAATCTACCAAATAGAGGGATACTCGCCCTAGGTGATCGTCTGGGTACTTTTGCACTGCATGACGTTTTCTGTTTTTTTTTTTTTATGAGTACGTGTTTAGCTTGTGTTCCACCTACTATGCACAACTGTATAGTGCCGCTGGCCTTCTGAAGTATTTACTTCTCGCTTTGCTGGATACCGAAAAACATAGCTTATATACCTGTGCGATGTGTTCAAGTACACTGTTCACACGAATAAGCATACAGCTTTTTTTTCTTGTTCTGTCCTCCATTAAATGTAGGACAGTTGACAGGTTTTCTCGGTAAATATACGTGGCTGATATAGCAGCGCTATACAAAAAAGTTTAACACGAATGCACTTGTTCTGTCTCCAGTAACAGTATAACAAGGTAACAGTTCACCACAACGCTTTCATCGATTGATTACGTGCAATAAAGTGATGCAACAAATGTCTATTTCTTTTATAAATTGGACAAGCGTATTTTTCAACTAAATAATGACCGCTGTCATCCATCAATATATAACAACGCCGCACAAATGTCCAGATAATATGAAAAAGATGAAGTTTTGCGTGAAACTGTACGACATAAATGTAAGGCAAGTTATCTCGTTGAATTTTTAACAGATATGGGTTTTTAATGCACACGTACATTTAAGCAAATCAATATTTCTGGGTGAATTCAACCCCAAGGTTAAATTGCGCAAGATAACTCTGTTTTATGACTTCCGTATCATTCCATTTTCGTGTTTTTAGGGGACAGTATAAGTAGCGAAGTATCAGACACTAGTTTATAAAAATATTTCTTTGTAGTGGGACTACGACTGTTTAAGCACAGCTAAAGTTCATCGCATAACATATGAGCTACGGTGATATACCCCTAACAACAAAGCAAACGTGCATGACCTAGAGACTCACTTTTTGTTTGCCAGCAAGTCACTAAGACGATGCGTTAACATACTATATGATACTACGGATGTTTGGGATGATGCCAAGCCGACCTTAAGATGTACTCAAAATCAGAAAGTGGCACCTACACGAAAATGATTCTGGTGAGCGGAGCGCAGGACGACAATATGCAGAACTCAGGAAAGTTGCACTCAGTTTCTTATTGCAGTGCTTATGTAGTCGACCAAGGCCAAGTGCTTCTGGTCATCCTGTTTGCGCTAGCGCAACAAAACAAACCACCCTTTAAGGACGTGCATAAGGTACGCACGCGTGCAAACGCGACGTGGCAAGCAAACGGCGCAGGCAGCAATCCACACTAGGCACGCTTCATCCAGTAGCCGCCAGGCGGCGACTCGACTGGATCTCGTGGCCAATAGTGATAGGCATACTAGCCACTAGCACGCATTATGGCTACGCAGCCTAAGAGCAGTGCAAAGAAACGTTTGTAGTGCTACCCCTATATATCTTGAGCTTCCATGGTCTTAGAAGGAAATTTTGCGATCTTTACAAGTGGTTCCGAAATGGTCGGTCCTCAATGCCCGGTGGCACATGCATTCACGCACAAGTATTCACTGTGTTTATTCGTGTGTGATATATTCACATCAGTTCAAACACTTCAAGCCCAATGTTCGTTATGAAAAGGCTATATGAGTCTTGTAATAGCGTTTCGCTGTGAGCCAGTGCATTGTTTGCGCACTAATTAAGTGCTTTTTTTTTCTTCCATTCCTAGGCAGGTGAATCACTCCGAGGATGCGGGGAACGCGCTTCTGGGTGGGTAACCACTCAAGGCGCAGGTGTTTGAGCACGCCGGCGTCGCCAAGATTGTGTCCCTCAACCCCGAACATTTCTATTTTTGCTACAAAGCTACAGCGCAGCGGCGGATTCCGCTCAAGAGGCACAAAGTGTCGACGTTGAGAATCAAGTGAGTGGCACACTTAGTTTCAGTGTGTGTTTTGTCTTTCGTCCTCTTTCCAAAGACGTCTGGGACCTGCGTTTCATCGTTTTGTGACAAAAAGGGAGCATGGCGCACCGTTTTTGTCACATGTCTTATATATACATTCATCATCGCCCAGCGCGAGAATAGCACTACAATTTTGGGCACTTATACGGCGCAGTTTCATTAGTGGTTTCGTCTTGTGCTTTCCCAAAAAGAAGTCTATTGGCAGGATTGATCATACGAGTGTCATTCATTGACGCATACAAGTATTACATGGCGGGTCACGACTTCACTAGCTGCCGAGACAACTCTGATTGATCGGGTGCACTGCAGAACGAACGAGAACCAACAGGACCACTTGCATCGGTTCATGTTCCAGGCCCTCATCTTAACGGTAGTGTAAGATGACACGTTGATGTTACAGGGGACTGTCTCATGACGCGCATTGTCATTGGGCGCGCCATTGCTCTTACAGTGTGCCATATGCCTTGGTGCTATTTGGCCATAGCTGGGTCTTGCGCCAGAAAACACCATATATTATCAACGTTTTCTTCATTGTCGTTTCTTCTCTCTCTTTCTCTCTCTCTCTCTCTCTCTGTGCGTGCGTGCGTGCGTGTGTGCGCGCGCTGGCTAACTTGCTGTATGTAATACTAACTTGCCCAAACCGAACCACTTCTCAACGATACTGGGCACCCGTTTTAGATCCGAGATGTTTCACTCGTCTGAATCTTAATATCTTGGAAATGCCCTTGCCATTTCACAGAGTCGAACATCTTTTTGTGCATGAGAGTATGGACGACTGATGAAAAGAAGTCACAGCTTTGCCACGAAGGCGAAGCAATGAACGCGATAGCAACAAAGGGGAAGCTCACGCGCAGAATGACAAGCAGATCGAAACTTGCCCCACGTTTCTCACGCACAAATGACGCATGAAACTTACTCACAGGTACAGATGAACGCGAATAAGCGTCTCAGTTGTGTTACTTCGCTGTGACTGAAAAGCGCACCCTTTTCGCAAACGGAGGCTGTGCAACGATTGCAGTAACCTTTGTGCGCCCCGTAACTACAACAGAATCGTTCCAGTGCAAGCCCAACGCAGCCAAGACGTAAGATCCGTCCCAGTGGGAGATAAGGGCACGCGAGAGATGGTCCACTCCACTCCCCTCCCCTCCACGGGTCAAAGTACGCGTGAGAGATGAGAGCCGCACCGCGCGCTCACTGTGCCATCTTGCTGATAATTCTGAAAACATGATAGGTCACCCCCCCCCCCCCCCCCCGAGATGCCCGCCAACAGCGGTAAGTGGTAGATATAAATAGCTTTTGAACGCAGCGTTTGAACGTTGAAGGGGGTACCCCTCAGTGGCTCAGTGGTTAACGCCTCGCATTCACGACTCCGAGGTCCCACGTTTGACTCCACCCGCCGGAGTCTTTTTTCTGGATTTTTAACGAGGATAGTCTTTATTGGAATACTCCAACCCAAAAATCTCTGTACATTTGTCTGTTTGTCCGCCTTAACAATACTCCAAACGGCACCGAACTACACCCCAAAAAACCAACCTAATCCGCAGCGCCCACCAATATTGCTCAAGTTTCAGCGTTCTTGCTTGTGCGATTGTTCATTAAAAACAATTATTGCTGATATCTGAGGCGCCATAAGAGGACAATATTTGGTATGTGTGTCTTTATACTAGAGCAGACATACAGACGTAATGCTAAAGGACCATAGCGTTTATGACGTTGCTCTGACAATGAAACGCGATGCAGATATATATATATATATATATATATATATATATATATATATATATATATATATATATATATATATATATATATATATATATATATATATATATATATATATACGGTGCATGACGCCGGCAGTGACATCCAGCTGAGAGTGTCCATATAATTGCAATCGCAATAAAATGTACAATATAATAAAAAAGCACAGTGATGACGTAATTGATACTTCTGTAAAATTAGTTTATTTGCACCTATATATTTTTATGAAATTTCGCTAATAGGCTATAAGGCCCAGTAAAATGTTGTGCGCCCCGCGTTGTCCGCCCCCCTTGCACAGCAGCTTTCGTATTAATTTTTATAATAAGCGTCGTTGATTATGTCATTTTTCCTTCAATTCACGCTGTAACCAATGAAATAAAATTTTAGGTGCTGAAGGCATAGAGAATAATATTGGTATTATATTATCAGTCAAAGTAGTAGTGTATAGTTGTAGCATTGTAGTAGCAGTAGTAGTGGCGAAGTGCGCAGTGACACTCTGTGAGGAATGTATGTCGATTTATTTTCTATAAGCGCCTTAACATTCACTGTGCTTCAAACACTCTGAGAACGAATAAAATGTCCAATCAAAACACGCTCTACGAAAAAAAACTGTATCGTTAGGCTGTAATCGGTTGTATTTACACTGGTGCACGCGTGCTTATTGGTAAATCAGTGTTAATTAACTTGTGTTCTGGAAGACGCGTCTTGCAGAGGTCATTCGGCACCCAGTTCAAGTATTCATCAGTGTCCGTTTCCGTGTGCGCTGCCACTTTGTTCTACTCCAGCACGTTGCCAACAGGGCACCCGGCGCAGTAATGTTTGCATCCAAATGGGCTCGAGTACGCATAAGTCTGGCTCTTCAGATGAGACTCACGAGTGTCCATCAATTGGAAGTGCCCACCAAATGGTACTTCCACGCTGCGTCTCGGCCCATCGTCTAATAGCAATGCCCTGCCCTGGGCACCATTTGAGAGTAAGAAATGACAGCGTCCCTGGGATCAAATTCGCCGTCGCTGGCGTTGTACCGTCCGTTCGTGAGCCCTGGCCACTCACTACAGCTGACGATACGACAGTCGTTTGCGTAAGCAACGCTATGGTCCTGGTTTCACCGCGGGAAACACACAGCCTATAGTGTCAACTTTTCTTTTGGTGAATCAACAGCACAGAAAGAACGCACTATTCCGCATTAAGGTAGGATATCGTCCACTCCAATCATTCTGTCTCCAAGACTGCGATGGTAATTATACAGACAAATCAAACAAAGTTTGATGCTTAGGAAGCATCACTATTGGTGCGATGCTTCCTAAGTGAAGGTGTGGCTAAAATAGTGCGAAAAAATAATGGCAGCTTTGCAGTGTGGTATACCAAGCCTGAAGAGTGAAGCTTGGCAGCTTTCCTTCTTTCTTTTGATTGTATTTTAACTTCTTCTTTCTCTCTATTTCTGTGTCTATTTTTATCGTTTTTTATTGCTTCCTTCTCTCTATCTATTTCTTTCTCTTTATCACCCTTGCCACGCCGCGGTGGTTTAGTGGCTAAGGTACCCGGCTGCTGAACCGCAGGTCACGGGATCGAATTCCGGCTGCGGTGGCTTCATTTCCGATCGAGGCGGAAATGTTGTAGGCCGGTGTACTCAGATTTGGGTGGACATTAAAAACCCCAGGTGGTCGAAATTTTCGGAGCCCTCTACTACGGCGTCTCTCATAATCATATGGCGGTTTTGGGGCGTTATACCCAACTTATCAATCAATCAAATCTCTTTTTCACCCTTTGTATCTCCCTTACTCTTTCATACTTTCCTCTCCATCTTCTATCTTTCACTTTCTCTGGCTATGTTTCTCTATTTTTCTTTTTCTGTCTAGTTCTCTGTCTTTCTTTTTTTCATCTCTTTTATGTCTGTTTATTTCTAACTCTCTCTCTATTTTTTCCACTGTCTTTCTCTTTTTGGTCTTTATTCCCTTTATTTTTTCTAATTATCTCTTTCTTCTTTTTTATATCGCTTTTTTCTTGTTTTTGAATTTTTTCTTTTTTGCACCAATTTTATCTTTATCGGCCTTTTTGTCTGTCTATTTATCGCTTTTTTCTCTGTCTCTTTGTCTTTTCCCCGAAACTGGGGCATGTTTACCCAATGTTCCCTCGTAAAGTACTTGAAATCTGCATAAGTGACTTCAATCAGGGCCAGAAGCTACAGATGATACAGGGCCTAAACCTAAATATGCAAGCACATGCAACCGATCGTATACGAGAGCAACAAGAAACAAAGTGGAAAACAAGTTTTCACCACACAGTTTCAAACTGAACATATATTAAGGGCGAAAAAAAAATACGGACAAATGAAAAGAAGAGATAGGGATATGAATCGGTATAATAAGGCGGAAAAGCCAAAACTACTTATGCGTAAGCAAGATGGACGTGTAAAAAAGATTCTAGAAGAAACTCACGCGAATTTTAAAAAAGAAAATGGGATAGGCTGCTGACCATGCAGTTTGCATAGATGCGCATGCAAGCTATCCGTCAGTTCTAAAGCCCAGCTATTTTGCCGAGACACCGATGGCTAGTGCCATGTTCACGACGCCTAAAGGTTTTTGAAATTACAACGTGGTGAATTCACGCAAGGCCTCTGGGCAAGCGGCGCTGCACTGTTGTACCGGGCCAGTGCTCTCTGTAGACAATAGACAACATGGAAGTTGTTTATGCTGGAGTAGATGCCCATCTCTTGAGCTCCAGATTTGAAAGCTGACAAATGTCCGTTTTACTTCGTTGAGTGTAATACGTATGGGAACCTGGTGAGAGTGAACTTCGCCAATCGGTAGCACTAGAACATTGAAACAAGGAGTTTAGAGGCAGTTTTCGAACGGAGTACTCGAAGCTTTGCATTAGCATTTATTACCGCTGCGCATGTCTTACGCCAACACCTCGGACACGCTCTTTTTATTTCAAAAATAGCGTACTAGTATCACAAAGAACCATCTTACCACATCGCTGTGAGTTTAACAGCTAGTTATTCAACCCCTGTATATGAGCCCTTGATAATACCTCGTGACGCCTTTCTATATAATTTTAAGGAAGCTAGTGTACGAGAATCAGCATCAGACTCGTTAGAATACGTGTAGAATAGGAAATTTTAAAATCACTTTGGTCCCCTATTTATGTGTTTTAGTACAGTGGCAATAAATACCTCCCTCGTCTTCATCAC